TCTACACCTAAATATTTTTAATGTCATTTTAATAGAATGGGCTCTGACTCCCTAATCCACAGCAAAAAAGGTTCAGCCCAATGGATGCCAAGTTTCCAGTCATAGATTATCATGTTTTTTTCCTCAGAAATGCCCTGAAGATGATGTTCATCAAACACCCATTCTGTGCACTTTGCACACCTGCTATGGGACAGGAGCACGAAGTGCATCCCCATGCTGCCCGAGTTGGAGATAGATGCTCTCTTGTTCACTCATAATTCCAAAGTAACTGCAAAGTAATCTCCAATTCTAAGTGCAAGTTTCTCAGCTCTGAGAATCACAGTCTGAGGGTGTGGCCCCTGCCCACCATTATCACAACCTCGACTTGCCCACCATGCTGTGAACTTAAACTTCCCTCCCACCTAACAACTTTCACTTTCCCCAAGTCTCTAACTGCCTTGCCTCACAGATTCTACACTAGACTCTTCATCTTACCCCACTTCTGACTCCCTAGTTTTACTGCTCTATATAGTTTGAGTATCTCACCACCTACATTATAAGAAAGCTTCTCTTAGACTCTAAAATTCTATGGGCAGTGCAGGTAGGGTCTATTTTTCTTAGCATCCCCAGTACTAGCCAAGAGCCTTTCAAAGAGCAGACGTTAATACTTGACATGGAAAGACCCAATATATAGGAAGCCAAACCTACTAGGATTTAATTTCTCCTCCATTCTTGAAGAAACTAAGAAAATCCAGATACTTATACTGCAATTTTACAAAGATACTAAAAGGAATAAAACAAACCAACAATTAGCTACATTTTCCATTATTTTTCACATCTCATGATTACACCAGCTTTTCTCTGGGGTAATTTCCTTTTACATAAAAATCCATATTCCAATGTTATTCTATTTTGTTCCAAATGACAAGAAATAACCCAAGGATTTTCAATTTGTTCCATAACACCAAAATTCCCAATTTTCCTACCTGACAAACTCTAGTAATTGTGTGATCCATGTCATTCATGCACTTAGGTTCTGGAGCTAAATACAAGTCTACATGAAAGGAACAACCTTTAAAATAGAAAAAGGAAAAGGTTAAATGTCCAATTTCCCCATGTCGTTCAGGCACACAAACATATTATGTACCGTGTTCTCAGGATCCCCCCCTTGGCTCTTCACTAGTTAAAGGGTTGGCTGTTTTCTTTTTATTTCCCCTACCCCACTCCAGTATATGCCCTCACCCCCCTGGTGTCTGTGTCCATTGGTTAGATTTATATGAATTCATACAAGTCCTTTGGTTGATATGTTCCCTTCCTCCACCCCTCCCCTACCTTTGCTCTGAGGTTTGAGCATCTGATCGATGCTTCCTTGTCTCTAGATCTGTTTTTGTTCATTTGTTGTTCAATATATTCCATAAATGAGTGATATCATGTGATATTTATCTTTCTCTGAACAGCTTATTTCACTTAGCATAATGCTCTCCAGTTCCATTCATGCTGTTGCAAATGGTAGAAGTTCCTTCTGAGATCTCAGGCAGAGTCTTCACTTGGTACTTAAAGAAAGCAGCCAATTAGCAATAACTGGTTGGCTGCTTTTTTTAAGCAGCAAGTTAAGACTCTGCCTCAGAGCTCACTAGGGATTAGAGGAGTTTCAGGACATGCCCTGGAATGCAAATTGGCAATAGCAGCAATAAGGGAGCCCTGCTACAGCTCTGCCTCAGGCCCTCTCTTATCTCGTAAAGCCTCTTGATGAAATGGGAAGGCACTGAGCATGGTATCATAGACCTTAGCCAATCCCCCTGCACATCATATATACTTATAGGAAAACACCCTCTATCCATGTACAAAGGTCATACTCATTCCTTCTTATAGCTACATTAGAGGCCCGATGCATGAAATTTGTGCAAGTGTAGGCCTTCCTTCCCTGGGCTGCCTCCACTGGTTTCCCTCTGGCACCTGGGATCCAGGCTTCCCTAGCAATCCTGGCTTCATCTGGAAGGTGGCCTGCAAGGACACCCGGTCTAATTAGCATATTATGTTTTTATTATTGTAGATATCCCTTGTTTATTCAATCAATATATTGATTAGTATTTCTGTATTGTTCTATCACTGTGGGTGTGTCTTAAAAAGTGGAATTACTAGGTCACAGGTAAATACATATTTAGTTTTGTTATATATTGTCAAATTCTGTAATGTTTTGAGAATGTACTCATATTCTTAAGAAATATTGCAACTAAATAATATTCTCAAGTAATATAATAATAAAGTAACAATTTTGAACTACTTTTACCTGATCTATTTAATGAAGTTATATTGGGTTCATAAAAAATCTTTTGGAAGTTTTGTTGCATTTTTCATGCTCTGCAATGACTTGTGTGACAAAATTGATATGTTTTGCAAAAGATTAGAGAATAAGGCAATAGATGCTTCAGGTACTCATTTCTGAGCTTCAGCCATATCAATACATGGCCAATCTTGTGTCACCTATATCCACTTCAGCCCCAGATTATTTTGAGATAATTATCTATAATAAGAATGTCAGACTCATGGCCCACAGACTGCATTCGGCCCACAGAAAATATTATTGTGGCCCAGCCAATATAATGGTATGTAAGGACAGTTTTAATAAAAAATTTAACTTAATTTTTACAATATTCTGTTAAACACTGTTATTAGTAATGAACTAAAACGTTCACTAATGACTGATTACTAGAATCCTGTTGCATTCATTTCCCTTACACACTTTAAGTGCAAACGCACCATTTCTCTCCACTAATACCAGCAGCGAATATTTTAGCAGCCAAATGTCCACATCATTAGTCTTGTTCTGACTTGTTTGGTGTGTGCAACAGGAAGTGTTTCATTTTTGGAGAACAAGAAAAATGGGTTTATTTGTGTTATGCTTATTAATTTGTGCAGTTATTCAGTGACTGGTAAGTTACTATTTGTGAAAAAATATTTTTATTAAAATGTTCTATTATTTTGTTAATAACTCATTTCTTTCACCCCTTTGTACTCAGCATGTCTCTTCCAAAATAAACGTACATTTCTATGAAAATTGAAGCTTTTGTTTTTTTGGGGCCCACAGAAACTTAAACCTTATTTGGCCCGAGTTAGCCTGATCTATAACAATAGTTATCCTATTGTGTACCTTTAAAGGGTAAAACATTTAATTACACATATAGGGACACTGGTTGGCAGAATTCCAAGTTGGCTTACCAGATTCCTGACTCCGCGTGTATACACATTTTCCACCAGTCAATTAATCAACTACTCATCTAGGTGCTGCTATGAGGGATTTTGCAAATGTAATTCAGGTCCTAAATAATTTGTTCTGAAAATAAAGGGATTATCCCCCATGGGTCAAGCCTCATCAGGTGAATCCTTACGTGGGATGGACTTCTCCTGCTGAGAGAAATTCAAAGAGTGAGAGTGAGGTTCTCCTTTGCTGGCTTTGAAGATGGAAGGTGCCACATAGCATACCAAGGAATTAATGGCAACTTGAGAATGGCCCCTAACTAACAGCTAGCAAGAAGATGGGCACCTCAGTCTTTCAATTTCTGGAAATGCATTATGTTATTTGCATTCTGCATGGCATTGGAAGGAGCTCCTGAGCTCCATGTGAGAATACAGCTACCTGATACATTGTCTGCAGCTTTGTGAGATTTCTGCCCCAGGAACTCAGCTACTACCTACAGAACTTTGAGATAGATACTAAGTGTCTATTGTTTGAAGCTGTTCAACTTGTGGTAGTTTGTTATGAAGTAAATGAATAAACACACTGAAAAGTTTTTTTTTAAACCTTTATTGTTGAAATTATTACACAGGTCTTCCTTTTCCTTCCATTAACTTCTATCCTGCTCCCGTCCCCTATCCCCAGGCCCTCACAACTCCATTGTCTGTGTTCACAAGTTATACATATCTGCATATAAATTCATTACTTATATTCTCAAACATTCTTGAATAACATCAGGAATCTTGGTATATATCCTACAAATTTACCAAATGAAAATTGATAAGATGGATGGTTTGCTTTCATGTCTTGGCTGTAACAGATAATGCTGGATACTGGATAGGTAATAAAGGCCGTAACCTTTTTAATATCTACGTATGGTTCAGATGTGTAGACTTATGGTGAGAACATTTTATTTTGTTAATCCTCACCCGAGCATATTTTTTCCATTGAATTTTTTAGAGTGGAATTTTTTAGAGGGAGTGGAATTTTTTTAAGGGGGGGCAGAGATAGAGGGAGGGAGGGAGAGGGTGAGAGAGGGAGAGGGTGAGAGAGGGAGAGAGACTGACCCCTTGCCTCTAGCTGATGCCCTGATGGGGGCCAGAAATTGAACCTGCAACCTATGTACAGGCCCTTGACCAGAATCAAATCCTCGATTCTTCAATCTGAAGGTCAATGCTCTAACCACTGAGACAAACCACCTAGGGAGACACTTTTAATTAATATAAATGTCTAATCACTCTGTTGCAAACATGAAACTACTATAACATTGTATTTCAACTGTTAAGTGGAAAAATATTAAAACAGAAATCGTCAATTTTTATTTTATCTATCTATTATCTATCTATCTATCTATCTATCTATCTATCTATCATCTATTTGGCTAGCTAGCTATCGATCTGCTATTCCAAGCTACTTTAGTGTGAAGTTCTTTCACATCCCAAAATATATTCCTACCCTAAATCTATGTTATCTTATTCTAGAGCACAAAAGTGATTGAATGATTTCCAATTTCTATTTTAAAAACAAAACTTTTACCCCTAACTTGATGAACAGCAATAAATGTGAGATCCATTTCATTCATAAACTTATATCCTGAATTTTAAAGAAACATTCTAAAAGAACATCACTTGAAAAAGCAAGAAAAACACACAAATATATCAAGATATTTTGCATATACTTGTGGAAACTGCTTAACAGGCCTTTACAGCCCAAAAGTGAAGAATCCATCTCAGTGTCACTTAGGTTGAGGGTAGCCGCTAGATGTGGCCTTGGGATGAGTGGCAGCCTAGGGTGAATCTTCATCTCTGGATCTCTCCTCTGCATCTTTCAAAGCTTCTTCATAATGCACTTGGAAGGTCGTGGGCACGGTATCATTGAGCTCAGCCCAAAACTCTAGGACTTTCATCTTGCTGGTCTCAGCATGGGCTCTTGGACCCCACAGGAACTCATAGCGTGGAGGATCACTGTTGGGCATCGGCTGGTACACCAGGTATTCCTCCTGCACCAAATCTTGGGTGATAAGCTTTCTGGGCTCCCCAAATAATAAGTGACTCTTATCAGCAAAGATACCCAAAGTATTCAGGAATACCCAGGTGTTCTCTTCAGAGACACGGTTGCCATTCAATAAGATAAAACCCAGGACAGGCATCAGAAGCCCTTTGGTAGGATATCTGAAGCCGCTGCTCAGACTCGGATCTTGATTGACAACAAGGGTGTAGGTATTAGCTTTGGGATCAACTTCTTTCAATTCCAGGCCGAAGAACATATCCATTCGCTCAGAGGCTTTCCTGAGGATCTCAGGAAAGTCCTTCCAGAACCACTTGTGGATGATCTTCAGCATGTCTCTCTTTCTAATGGGCTCATTTCTTTTATATTGATAAAGCAGGTATTCTACTAACATAGTTGCCTTCTTACTTAGTAGACGTTGGCCAGAGCTCTCAGTGGAGGTTGAGACCTGGGAGACTTTTTTACTTTTCTGAACCTGGCCTCTGGCTTTTACAGCAGGTCCTTCACCTGAAGCACCTGCAGCAGCACTGGTGGCGGCTGGGGCATCCTGAGGTGCCTGGAGAATGCCAGCACCAGTGGATATTGAGACCTGGGTGGCTTTTTTACTTTTCTGAACCTGGCCTCTGGCTTTTACAGGAGATATTTCACCTGAAGCACCTGCAGTGGCACTGGTGGTGGCTGGGGCATCCTGAGGTGCCTGGGGAATACCAGCACCAGTGGAGGTTGAGACCTGGGAGGCTTTTTTACTTTTCTGAACCTGGCCTTTGGCATTTTTTACTTTTCTGGAGGTTGAGACTTTGGAATCAGATATTTCACCTGAAGCACCTGCAGTGGCACTGGTGGTGGCTGGGGCATCCTGAGGCGCCTGGACAGTGCCATCACCAATGGAGGTTGAGACCTGGGAGGCTTTTTTACTTTTCTGAACCTTGCGTTTGACTTTTGCATTAGATATTTCACCTGAACCACCTGCAGTGGCACTGCTGGTGACAGCTAGAGCATCCTGAGGTGCCTGGACGGTGCCATCACCAGAGGACATTGAGACTTCAGAGGCTTTTTTATTTTTCTGAACCTGGCCTTCGACTTTTGTATCAGATATTTCACCTGAACCACCTGCAGTGGCACTGCTGGTGACAGCTAGAGCATCCTGAGGTGCCTGGACGGTGCCATCACCAGAGGACATTGAGACTTCAGAGGCTTTTTTATTTTTCTGAACCTGGCCTTCGACTTTTTCATCAGATATTTCACCTGAACCACCTGCAGTGGCACTGCTGGTGACTGGGGTCTCCTGAGGCGCCTGGAGAGGGCCATCACCAGTGGAGGTCGAGGCCTGGGCGGCTTTTTTACTTTTCTGAACCTGGCCTTTGGCTTTTACATCAGATATTTCACCCGAAGCACCTGCAGCAGCACTGGTGGTGGCTGGGGCATCCTGAGGCGCCTGGAGAATGCCAGCACCAGTGGAGGTTGAGGGACCATCCCCCAAAACGGAAGAGGAGGAGCAAGCAGCCTCTCCTTCCTCTCCTGCAGGGGCCTGAGCACTCATATCACCTTGTTTCTCAGCTCGGTTTTGGCGGCGTTTCTCTCGAGCGCGGAGCTTACTCTTATGACCACGAGGCATGATGGCTGTTGTTGAGGACAGCAGACAGGTGATTTGGGCACCTAGTGGGTGGAGAATAAGGTAACTTGAGCACCTTTAACTGGAAGATTTCACCTTGCCTTTCAGGAAGTGTCTCTGCAGGCTTCCTTATGGGCACTACTCTAGCATCCGCAAAATCTCCTGTTTTCCTGGTTGGTCTGGCCCTTAAAAATCCCAATGAGAAACCAGACAAATTTTAGAGTTGATCCCATGCTATGTATTATTAGCCTTGCCTTGAATTTACTCTATAACAGTAGGTGATTCCAGTGTATCCCCCCACCCACTCTGATTCTGGCATGTGGGATCTTCTCTCTTTATCTTCAGTATTACTGTACCAACAATGGGAAGGGCCTAGCCTAGACAATATACCATCTGCTACTCTGATGTTGCCACCGAAAATGCTCCCTGGGACCCAGGAAAAAGAATTAGAGAGAAGCTTTAGTTCACCACCCCATCAGGGGATACCCAGTGCTTAGAATTTATTGGGGTCCTTTATGTCATGAGTTCATTTGGATCCCCAGTTGTCAGTCAAGCTACACAGGACCCAATTCTGAGGTCTCAAATGGACTCATGCTGAGGCCACAATTTCTGGGACCACTCCCCTCAGATCAAGGCACTAACATCCCTGTTAACCGTGAGTGAGGGCTCATGGGCACTCCTGCCTGACATTTATCTTTGAGGTGCGCCAGGACTGAAAATAGACAGTATTCTTGTTTCACTGGAGGAGAGTTATCTGTATTTTTTTGTTTGAGAGAGTGGAAGGAAAGAAGAAAGGGTAGAGGGAGGGAGGGAGGGAGGGAGGGAGAGAGAGAGAAATATTGATTTGGGAGCAACACAACAATTGATTGCCACCTACATGAACCAAACCTGGCAAGGGATCCACCTTCCACCTAGGTACCCGCCCATGACCTATGACTCCAGGATACTTTGGTGCAGGCCGACCATCTAACCAGGGGGCACAGTGGCTAAGGCAGGGAGGATTCCTCGTGGCCCCACTGGTACAAGGGGGCACATCCCCACAGCCCTCAGTGCTCTGTCCCTGAAACCTGGTAGAACACGAAATCCTCCCTCTGCTGACCTGGCTGCCCCCTTTGACTAAGGTGACCAGATTTTAACATTGGTAAAGCGGGACACCATTGACGGGGGTGGTGGTGTTCTTCATTAAAAATTTGGTCTATATGTTACTAGCATGAAAAGACATAAGTCCTTCTGCTAATGCTAATTTCTCTTCTTTGTCCCCATAAGTTGTTTTCTGAAAAAATTCCTGTATTTTGGAGGAAGATGCAGCAGTATTTAAATATCTTTTATGTTTCTGTGTCGCCAAGTGCTTTAAAATATCATTCTTCCCGCCATGCGAAATAGAAAATTCACCATTACATTTATCACATTGTACCATGTAATTGCTTTTGTTTTTTTTTTAATAAAGGGAAATTCACTTCTTAGATCATCCTTGAATTTGTATCCTCTTTTCATTATGTTAAAAATCTAAAAAAATAATCTAAAATTATATTATAAATTATATACACTGCTTAAAAACACAGTAAGTAGGTACATAATTACATGACATATTTTATTGTTAGTTTATAAATAAAATTAATTTGATTGTTATGAAGTAACTATATTTTAAAAATTATTTAAATTTTAATCCTATATTTCTTTCTAAATAATAACAATACTAACCTGTGTAAGTTTTCCTCTGAATTTGCCTTAACGAAAGTCGTAAGTGTCACTTTCAAGGCCAGTGCTAGACTTTTTGCCGCCACTATAAAATATAAACAATATGAGTACTGTCTGCTAAATTCAAGAAAATTTATGTATTTATGAAATAAATAACTTACCTAAATTATCTGAATAGCTGATTTGTAATGACATCACCTGTTTGCTAGCTTACTAGCACGCAGTACGATGTGTTTCTACGATGTGTTTAGTCTGAGAGACAGTTACAAAATGTTTTCCTCATTGCCAATCCCCAAAAATGCCATTGTTCAGTAACTCCAAAGAATGGTGGTCGAATTCTAACAACTGATTACCAATGCAAACTTTGATAAGCAGTTCTCAATAATCAGTTCTCAACAATTATTTGTTATTATTAAAGTTCAACATTATGAAATTAATATAAAATAATAAACAAAAATAACATAAAACTCATATCCTGGCTAAATAGCCACATGGCCGCCTAAAACCATATATTCCCTTCCCGTTTTCCCGCCATTCCCTAGCTTGTCTTGCATTTCTTCCAAAAATCGGGACTTTTTTAAAACGCTGAGGGACTCGGGACAAATTGTTAAAAATCGGGACTGTCCCGCCAAAATCGGGATTTCTGGTCACCTGACCTTTGACCTGACCAATCACCCCGCTGAGGTGGCCCGGAAGTGAGCTAGTGCAAATCAACATGGCGACAGGCCCTAGCCCCTCAGGGGTGCCTCCCACAGCCTCCCTCAGTGTGACAACCCGGATTCCTAACAGAGACCGGTCCCCTCTCTGTTCCCTCCTCCAACAAACCGAGGCCTGGCACTTGTGAGACGCCACCTGCAGAACAAGGGCACCGAGGCCCGCCAGCTCTGTTCCGGCCGCCATGATAGTTTGGCGGGGTGACCGCAGGAGGCGAGGCGGGCGCTCTTTATTTCCTTGGCGGGGCGCTGCCTGGAGCTGAGAGCAGGACCTGCTGCCCCCCATTGGGTAAGTTATTTATTTCATAAGTCATTTATTTCCCGGAGAGAGGGCTGCTCTGAACCCCCGGCCTCCATCTTGAATCTCTTTGGGGCCCATTATCAGCCTACTCCCAGCAAGGCCTCCCAGCGCCCCCCCCCCCCCCCCCCCCCCCGCCGCCTCCAATACCTCCAGGCCGCATTCAGTCTCAGGGCTCACTGCAGGGAAGGGATTGGGGTCCACGCTCGTTTTGGGGGTACGTGGCTTGTGTGGTTAGCACGTAGGCCCTCACCTTCACTCGAAGCCAGTCCCGCGAAGTCCTGAGGCAGCCGCCACACCCGCGCACCTGCTGGAATGTCCTCGAAGCCCCAGGGGAAGTCAGTGGGGCCTTTCCGTGGTCAGGGCTGTCCAGGGCGCGCCTGATGCCAGGAGCCTGAGGGATTAGGGTCCCTGGGCCCCAAGTCCTCACTCTGCCTTTCCACTTTTGTGTCTGCAGAGCTTAGACTCTTCCCTCTAGTGAAGTGGGTGGGCCTGGCCCCCACAAAATCCTCCCTTCCTGAGACCCAGGGAGGCAGGCAGTGAGGACGCCCTGCCTCTGAAGGGGGGCCTGAGCCTCACAGGCCTGCAGTGGGGGATGGGTCACTGCTGGACCCTACTGTGTAAGAATTTTGCTCCCTGGGTCTTCACTCATGTTCCTAACCTGGGTTTCCTCCTTTAGTGACCCAGGTCTGTTCTTGTTTAAACAGAGTCTCATGTTTGTGAGTTCCTGGAGGGGACATTTGCTATGGGACACACATATAGTCCTACTTCTCTTGCACATAAGATTGACAGCAAAACAAGTTTCCTGTGAGGCCCCAGGTTTAGGGAGCGTTTTTATGTTCATCGCTCAGGGGTCTCATCATAGCTTCAATTAAGGTAATTACCACTTTTTCTACAGAACTGGGACTGCATCCATCAAAGTGAGGACCTTCACTCCCTGAGGTCTGACTGGTAACAATAGTGATATGTCTTCTACAGTTCCCTGTGGCTAAGAATAGAATGGGGCTCTATTTGACTTCCTCTCCTAGTGGAGGTTTCACCATAACAATTAGGGTCTTTATCAAAGCTATTGTGAAGGCCTAGGATTTCTCTCTCTTCATAGCTGGGACTTTCTCCATTCTTAGATCACTTCAGGAAGGTTAAAAGGGTTCTGCCAGAACTCTCCCCTGAGCATCCCAAGGCCAATAGCATTGGGGGAATTTGTGGGATTACTCTGTTTGGCATGGGTGGTTCTCTAATTCTTATTCAGAGTCCACACCTTGACACATGACCATTCTTGGGACTTTGCTACCCCGAGGCTGCTCTCATCAAATCAAGGTACTCACCTTTTGGGGATCTCCAAAGTTCCACATCTTGCAGGGACTTTTCCAGTCCTCTAAGGGTTGATGGCCTGAGCCACTGTTTTTTATATATGTTTTTATTGATTTCAGAGAGGGAGAGAGATAGAGAGATAGAAACATCAATAATGAGAGAATCACTGATTAGCTGCCTCCTGCATGTCCCCCCACTGATGGGGAGAAATCGAGCCCACAACCGGGGCATGTGCCCTTGGCCAGAATCGAACCTGGGACCCTTTAGTCTGAAGGCCGACGCTCTATCCACTGAGCCAAACTGGCCAGGGCCCCCACTGTTTTGTTTGTTTTTTTTCTTCATTCCTCATTCAGGGTTCTCACCTTTATATCTATCTATCTATCTATCTATCTATCTATCTATCTATCTACCTACCTACCTACCTACCTATCTATCTCTCTATCTACCTGCCTACCTATCTATCTGCTGACCTGAGCTTGTCTTTCTTACACCAAGGCTCTTAAGTACTCGAAAGTCCTAAAGAATAATGCTGGGCATGCTCAGCTTGACAGCCCTGTGTGGCCCCTTTCATGCATAGGGGGGAGGGGGAGGAATGTCTGTGTGTGATCCCCAATATTCTGGGCTATTTGTCTATCCTGCCCTCTAGCATTGGGGCCCTCCTCTTGGCTCCTGCCTCCTGGGATAAAGGCTTCCTGGAAAATGCCACATCCCTGCAAACACTGAACAGTTTCCCATCTGCAAATCTTGGTCCCTGCTTTAGGAATGATGTGAGATGGGGCAGGTGAAGCCCAAGTCAGGAGTCTCAGGACAGGCAGGCAAAAATATGCTGATATTTTCCTTCTCTTCAATCAGTCAGATTTAGATCCTTATATAAAGTCCGTTCTGATATTCTACCGGGAAGGGGAAGTCTATGATAATTTTATGAGATTTTGATCTTTTCAGGTTATCTAACATCGCATATGTACATGATCATGCTGTCACCA